ACCCACAGTTTTTGGTGCAGTCTTTGGAAGCAGGTATCACCCCTTGATCAGCCAAGCAGAAGCCGTTGTCCAAAGTCATTGTGGATCAGAGAAGCCATCTTCTGGTTTCTCTGTCATCAGTTCAGTTCAGTCGCTCAGTCGTGTCCGACTCTTTGTGACCCTATGAACCGCAGCACGCCAGGCCTCCCTGTCCACCACCAACTCCCGGAGTCATCTTCATATTCTGAATGTTGATCTCTGTCATAGTCCTGGTCATTTCTATGGACTGAGCGATTCTCTGGACTGAGCGATTCTCTCTGGGACATTCTCGGCGGGGCGAAAGCAGAGAGCTGCACGTCCTTTTTCCCTTCTGTCTCAATGAGATTTATTTCCGAGTACATTTACATATGTTAAGTGAGTTTTGTGACTAACTAGCTGTAAGACATTTTGCAAATTGTTTGACATAGTTGGCCTCAGTCTCCTTATTTGTTGAATAAGAGAGAGTAGAACTATACGCTTTCAGAGGTCCCTTCCAGCTCTAAATGTCTGTCATCCTATGAAATGCTTCTTAAAGGAACATTTAAAAAAGTCTAGCTTATCAAAGCATTAGAAAGTACTTAGCTATTTTTATGGTTTGGATCAAAAATATGAGCTGTCACTTCTTGGAAAGCTTTATTACCCCCACTTCTTGGCAAAGGCTGAAGTTTAATATCATTATGGTACCCTTTAATGAGGATTCCCTAATTTAGGAAGGCATTCGTGATAATGATCACTTAAAAAGATCACTGATTTGAGAAATGGTTCAGGTCGTAACGGGTGCTGAGAATGAAGGCTGAGCGATTACTTCTTTACTGGGCTGTGCTAGTGTTGATATTTGTTTTGCTAATTGAACTTAATTTACTGTGAAGTTTTTTTCAGAGATTTCTGTCACTGTGAGCAATGGTGCTACTGGGGTGGGGCACTGAACTTAGAGCCCTTATTCCTTGACTATCACATAAACTGGTCCATCCTAAAGGAAATCCCCATGAAAATTCACTGGAAGGACTGATGCTGAAGCTGAAGCTCCAGTACTCTGGCCACCTGATGGGAAGAGCTGACTCATTAGAAAAGACCCTGATGGTGGGAAAGATTGAAGGCAGGAGGAGAAGGGGGTGAGAGAGGATGAGATCATTGGATGGCATCATTGACTCAATGGACATGAGTTTAAGCAAACTCTGGAAGATGGTGAAGGACAGGGAAGCCTGGCATGCTGCAGTCCATGGGGTCAAAAAGAGTTGGACACTACTGAGCAAGTGAACAAAGACAATTTTTTAGAGGGAGTGACCTGGAGGTATCCTAGGAGTCTTACAACTTCCTCCACACTGCTTCTTAGACACATCAGCAGTTCACCCATCAGTTTATGAAAACCCAAGAGTTGGAAATGTTGCCAGTGGTTCTTGAAAAAAAGACCAGATAGATCACTATTCCTCTAAGATGGGCGTTTCACACTGGGATGCAGAGGGAAATTGGGAGGGAGAGAAAGTGAAGGTTGAGAATGAAGGGAAAAGAAAGAAAATCATCCAGATGAAAAAGTCACAAGGAGTCTTTGCTCTTATAGAAAGCTTGGCAGAGTGCTGGGTTCCCTCCAGGACTCTGCACCTGGGCTCAGGGAAGAGGACTGACCTTGGGTCTCTCTCTTTTTTTTAATGAGTATTTTTTTTATGGCTTCCCAGTTAGCTCAGCTGGTAAAGAATCCACCTGCAATGTGGGAGACTGGATTTGATCCTTAAGTCAGGAAGATCCCCTGGAGAAGGGATAGGCTACCCACTCCAGTATTCTTGGGTTGGGAAGATCCCCTGGAGGAGGACATGGCAACCCACTCCAGTATTCTTGCCTGGAGAACCCCATGGACAGAGGAGCCTGGTGGGTTACAGTCCTTGGGGTCAGAGTTGGACACTGCTGAAGTGACTTAGCATGCACACACGCATAGACAGTTAACAAACAATGCTGCGACGGTTTCAGCTGAACAGTGCAGGGACTGAGCCATTACATACATAGACCCATTCTCCCCCAGACTCCCCTCCCATGCGGGCTGCCTCAAAACATTGATCAGAGTTCCTTGTGCTCTACCGTTAAGTCCTTGCTGGTTATCCATTAAAATGTTTCTTGATCAGAGTAGAGCAGGTTTTGTCCTCTATTTTCTACCCACCCCCTGAGGGTACCTAAGGAATCATGAACAAGAAGCTCCATCAAATATAATTATAATCCTGGGAGTGATTGTATAGACACATTGCATTTGTGTTATCAATAGCTCCCTTGCTCTGTTAAGGCCCCTGTCCCCTTCCGTCTGGTAAGGAAAACTAAGCCACAAATCAATGGCTGGTTTCAGAATTTAGGTTGCACTTTTTCTCCAAAGACTGTGTGAGGACCGAGAAATAAAACAACTAATTTCACCGGACCCAGGCAAGTCATCTGATCTGAAAACCAGGTGTCTGGTCTTTCCACGAAGATGGATTGCCCGGTGTGTCAGCCAGCCCCGGCTGAGCATTCCTGAGTAATTAGGAGTCATTTCATTGGCAGCCGCCTACCCAGCTCACCTTGCAGAGCTCTCGAAATGTCTGAGCCAGAAGCCGCCCCGCCCCAGCAGAGCTCCGCAGCTCTGACCTGGCAGGACTTGGTAACATGATGCTGTGACATACAGGCAGTCCACGGAACTGCGGCCCCCAGCCCCCAGCCCCAGGCTACCAGGAGAAGAGGGGAGTGTTCGAAGGTTAAGCTAAATAATATGCTTTTAATGAGAACGTGTGCCTGGCAGATCAAAAGCATCATGGTAAGATAAAACGTTCAAAAAGGCCTTTCCCTGAACAGTGCATTTGACCAAAGCTGCTTTCATGATCTCTCTGATAGAATTCTAAAAAGCATTTTTAAGGGTTTGATCCTAAGTGTTACACTTGAGCAGGTTTTCCCTCACCTTTTATCCCATGGAGACGTGGGCCATTTTGTGGGAGGGTGGATTATCAGCAGGGGAAAACCAGTGCTTTGTGGTCTGTAAGGATGGACTGATCTGGGTCTGGAAGCATCTGGAAATGTTATCTGGGTGCCCTGGCCATCTGACAGGGTGTTATCTCTTTAAAATGCTAGGGAAAACACAAAAGCAACACCCAGGTTGGGAGACTCTAAACTTTGCTCAAACCACATCGACTTCATGAGGCTTTCCCAGAAAACTTCTCAATTGGAGTTGAGGGGAGGCAGGAAGACATGAACATTTCTTGAGTGCCCGTTATATAACATGGGACTCCTAGGGGGCACAGTGGTAAAGAATCCACCTGTCAAAGCAGTAGACTCAGGTTTGACCCCAGGGTTGGGAAGATCCCCTGGAGATCATTTCCTGGAGAAGGAAATGTCAGCCCACTCCAGTATTTCTTGCCTGGAGAACCCCATAGACAGAGGAACCTGGTGGGTTACAGTCCACCGGGTTGCAAAGAGTTGGACACGACTGAGTAATCAAACAACAACAAATTACATAATATGTATGTGCTGGGGACTTCAGCTGCATGATAATATTTAATCCTTAAAGTATCCTTGTGGCATGGTTATTATTAATAATCTGTTCTCCCACTGAACTTCATTCAAGATGGCAGGGCCTCATCCAAAACTACCCGATGAGAATCTCGAGTGGTACCTAGAAATCTGTGCTGTAATTCTTCTGGGCGATCCCAACGTTTGCTACAGTTTAGAAACACTGATGTAACTTGTGACTGTAAGAATATACCTGTTCTGGAGTAGAGAGGGACAGATTTCTAAGCTATCACCAGTCATCTGTAGCTGAGTGAAAACGAACTGCCTGCTCTGCTGGGGGAGGTGGGGAAAGACAGGACGGGGGGAGGGCTGAGCGGAGAGGGTAAGGGTGGGCTCAGAAAGGGAAGCAGGTAACCAGGACAATCTCCATGCTATCCCAATTTGCTAGCCCTGCCTCTGCTAGCTCTTGCCTTTCTCCTAAGAAGTAAATGTCAAAACAAGTTTTCTTTGAAGGAGACACAGGTATTTAGCACCTCAAACAGCTGGAGTCCCACTAAAAAACAGGGGTTTTATGATGTGATAATTCACCTCCCTGGAGTTAGTGTGCTTTGCCTGGGTAGAATTCGACTAGCTAAATTTGAGTTTCAGAAAGGAATTCTACCAAAACAATTTTGTGCTTTTTTTGAAGGCAAATCAAATTGACTTTTAAATTTTTAATTGGAAAATTAAGTTCCTTTAGGCTCATTGCATCTCTAAAAGGATGGGCCAATTATTGGTCAATAAAACAGTGTGACCAGGGATTCCTGTGGCTTACAAACATTACACGAAACCCTCTAATCTTCCTTTTGCACAGCATAAAATGAACATGTTAATTCTCCCTGCATTTAAAAAGATTTAAATAAAAGTTCCCTTACCCTTCATTTAAAAATACTGAAGTAGTTTTCTTTGTGTGCCGGTCATGAGTTAGCCCAGCAGTAGATCGTGGGGAGTCAGGATGAACAGACAAGGTCCTTATGCCCAGGGAGCTCCTGGCCCAGTGAGAAGCTTGTGGTCATCATTAGGACCTGTGTACCCTGCGTGCTCTGGTCTCCATCAGAGATCTTTCCGCTCAAGCTCTGCTGGATGGTACATGGCTTCCCATACGGGCCAGGTCTCTTCCCCATAAAAGTGTCAAGCCCTGATATCAGATCAAGACAATAACGATCCCTTTGGGCAATTCAAATAGAGGGAATTTAACATAGGGGGTGGGTCCCACAGGTAATGACAGAGTTGAGGGTACAGACAGGCACTCGGAGATTAGCAGCAGGAAGACTGGGCTGAAAGGACTCAGAGAAAGGTGATGTTATCAGATTCTACAAGCTGGTTCTTTGGGGGTGCTTTGGGAACCACGGTGGGGCTGTTTCGGCCCCTGCAGTGGGCTCCGTCCTCATGGCTGACTCCGCACTCTCTGGCTGTGCGGGTCGCGGTGGGACCTGCTGTCCCTGCCCCGGAAGCAGACCCGCCCACGTGTAGGGCGTCTTCCGGTGGTCCCTTCCGCTCTTCAGAAATATCCCGAGCGCCCTGCTCCGGCGGCCAGCCTGCCTCCTTCTCTGGCGCCAGGAGTGGGGCTGGGAAAGCTGACCGTGTTTGCTTCTTGAGGCTGTGTTGACTGGGTGGTGATGAGCCCTCCGGGGAAGGTACTGACTGTGGTTTCCACAGGAGCCGAGCTGAGAGAGGAGAACCCGGATGGGAGTCGCGTCTAGAAGCTCAGCGTCTTAAACCAGCGTCTCCCTCTGAACCAACCTGAGGAGGAATGAGGGGACCACGGAGGTCTGGAAGCCATCCTCTGCCGGGTGGAGCAAAGCAGGGTAGGTGGGGAACGGGTCTGAGAGCTAATCTTCCAGTCACGGGCACACCCGGCTGTCCCCCGAAGGGAATTCTGGCCGGTTGGGTCAGAATAAGAAAGGTTTTTTTTTTTTCTTTTCTTTTTTGCTGTTTTGCCTGGCGTGTGGGATCTTAGTTCCCTGGCCAGGGATGGACTTGCGCTGGAACCAGAGATTCTTAATCAGTGGGCCACCAGGGCAGTCCCAGCAAGAAGATTTCAACGAAGATCCCTCTCACTCCTGACCATTCACAGGGAGACAGAGGGGACCACAGGAGCGCCCCTCCCAGAAAGCAGCTGGGAGTCTGAGGTCAAAGCTGGGCAGAGGTGCAGACCCATCAAGACCCCTTTCAGTACCAAGCTTCCTGGATTCTCTACTAAACTTCACTCTCAGCTCAATTTTTAAAAATGTTTTCATCTTGCAACAGTGCTTAGAATCTGCCCTCTGCTCTCGGAGGGAGTAGGTCTGACAGTGAATCCTTTCAGGTATCCATGTCTGCGTCCATTGGCCTCTTAGATACTTAGAGAAGGAAGACTTAGAGTAATCAACAGCAAGCCTTGTGGCAAAAGCAAAGAGATTTTGGGCAAAACGGTCCTGCTAGAACCCTCGGTGGGCTCCTTGCCTCACCCGCTATAAAGAGCTCAGCACAGAGGTTGAATTTGGGACTGTTTTGCCAGGATGATGGCTAGCTGGGTATAATGACATCAGCTAGGGGCAGTACTGCTTAAGGGCCAGTTTTTTTTTTCCCCCCCAATCCATTGTGGATTCATACTTTTATAAAATATATTTTAAAAATTACAATAGAAAAAAACATATAAGATAGCATTTGAATATCTTTTGTTAGTTTTGACAGGCATAGAATTACACCATCCAGTTACATTGAAAGTTGCTAAACTCTTCCTGTTGGGCACCTACTGTTTATGGACAGGTTCCTGTCCCCTCTCCACACTGGCTCAGAAGACCCAGTGGAGATGGTCTTTGTGATCCTAGGAGGCTGCTCTGGGGGAGGCTCTTTCTTCCCACTCCCACCCCCTGACCCATGAGTTTCTGGAATTAGTGACAAAGGTTTAACAAAAGGCAGGCTCTGTAGATCAGCAAGAACCTGGAGGAAAACAGCTCTGAGGGGTGCACTTAGCAACAGGCGAGCATGGGGCAAATGCCTGCACCCCAGCTCGGCCGGATGGTTTGTCTCTTCTCCAGCCGCTTCATTTCATGTTCTTTGGATGCTGACAACTCAGGAAAGGCAGCAGACATTTCTAAAAATGACAGTTATCTTCAGGGAAAGGAAAATGGCAAATATGAGACAAAAAAAGTATGAAGTAAATTTTTCACCCTGAAGGGCCAGAGAAATCATTAGAGTTATCTGACAGCCTCAGTCTCCAGGCATGTGACCTGCCTTCTGGCTATCTCACTGCTATTTATATGAGCCAGGATGTCTACCTAGCGCCCGGGTTGAAATCAGGCGGGATCTACGGGAACTCAGATATGGCCCAGAGTGACAGAAGCCTGCAAACCCTTACATCTGTCTTTTGAAATTCTGGATTCCACATTATCCACCTATAATTCATAATTAGTTGCTTTTCTCCCAACACACACACCCACACAGACACACATACAGACACACAAATACACAGACACACACAAACACACAGACATGCACAGACACACAAACACATATGTTTTTATCCTTCTCTCCCCTAAAACATCACATTGAGCAAAATGAAACTTTAGGAATTAGCTGTCATTCCTATTCCACAAGATATTATGATACTAACAGAGTGGGTATTGACAAAGTAAAGTAAAAATAGCTGCTCTTTGCCTCAATCTTCAATTAAGATATTCAAACAAATTTTGAAACAGGAAATTCAAAATTCTCTTATTTATTTTTGACACTTAAATCTACTGAATTTCTTCTTTAAAAAGCTGCCATTACTGAAATGTTATTAGGGTAATATGAGTAAAGTTAAAGCATACTGGTGGGAGGGGGGTGGAAAATCATACCGGTGGAATATACAGTCAAATGCAGTTCTGTACGGCCAAGTGTTTCTTCCCGCTTGAGAGATCAGTTTTCTCTGATGCCCTTTATTAAAGTTTAAAGCAGGTGTTGACTTGGCAGGAGGGAAAGGATTTGGGAATGAGCTTTCTTGCGGTTGACCTTTAGGGGCTGTCATGCTGCCTGCAGTATTGTCATCAAGTAAAGAAGGGTGTGGTTCCTTTTGTGAAAAAATGTTAAAAACAAGAAAACCAGAAACAGAAAACCCTCACCGCCAAATCAGCCCCCATGTTCATCTCTCAAGATCACCCGTGTTTGTGATCACATACCGCTGTTTGTGTGTGTCCCTGTGTTTGGAGTGAGAGTTTGATCAATTGTTCCACTGGCAGCTAAAATCCTAAGCCATGTGTCCATGTGTTTCTCAAAGAGAAGCTTGACTGTATTCTCTTCATATCATTTCAGCAAATGATTCTCATCACCAGCACTTAAAAACCTGCTCCCACAATCTTTTGACAAGTTAAAGTTTCTCCATTTCAGCCTTTAACATGATGAAAATGAATTTGAAAACCCCTGTACCTATTAAAATTCTTACTCCTGCCAGACATCTGCTTTCCTTTTGAAGATCACATCATCTGCTTTTTGACTAGGTTGTGCATTTAAGACCTGAGAACTGTGACCCCCGTTGCCTAGCAACCAAGAAACTCTGGCCTCAGCCCTGGTGGGTGAGATGAAAAAAGGTCGGTGAATGCGGCAGGCCTGTCCTTATCAATATGCTACCATGGCAGCTACTTTCATTTCTTTCTAGTAATATATCATAATAAGTTTTGTAGGTCTTTATACTGTGGTTCTCCCTTTTGAATAAAAGCATAACTAAGACTTGAGGGGATGTCTGATATAACAGAAAATGTAACCATAAAAAAAAAAAAAAACCCAGAATAGAAATCATCTAACTGCTGAGTACCCTGCCGAGCTGCCTGAGGCAGCTACACATTTCCATTGAGTTATTTTATGATCAGGCCAGTATGTTATTGAAATATTATCTCTTTAGCCTTTCTCATTCTGATAAGAAATGACAGGCTCTCAGAACAGTAATACATACAGAGTACAGAATATGGGGCCATGGACAGAATTCAGCTGGGGTAAAGCATACTGGCTTTGGAGAATTTCCATTAATACTGATCATCCTTGGGTTGTATTTTCAAATCGGGCACAGTCCACATTCTAACGTCCGCTTTAATTGTGAGGCAAATTTGGAGCTCTGCGGATGGTTCCACCTAGACCAGTTTATTGAACAACATTAAAGAAAAAGTGTGAATGTTTTCACCCAACTCATTTACGATACAGTTTCTGTAGCAAAGATTGAAATGCTGACCTGTTTGAGATGCTTAGGTAACAGCTACAATTGGGCTTTGAAGTCATTCATGAAAGGAGAGTAAGGAGGCATAATCGGGAAGAGAAAATTTCAAATGAAATATTCAGAAGGGGGTCTAATTTAGAGATATCGTGGAAATGGTGTGTGACCCATAAAGCTTTGTTACCTTCTAAAGCTTTCACAGGAGGAAAGATGATCTTATCACTGCTGACTTATTGATTCTTTGCTGTCGTTTAACATGTAAGCCATCCCATATAGACAGACCTAACATGTTCATATTTCAAGATGCTGCCGGCAAGGCAGGAGACCCAGGCTCAATCCTTGGGTCAGGAAGATCCCCTGGAGAAGGGAATGGCTACCAACTCCAGTATTCTTGCTTGGAGAATTCCATGGACAGAGGAACCTTGACGGCTCCAAAGAGGTTGCAAAGAGTCAGACATGGCTGTGTGACTAACATTTTCACTTTCAAGGGAGACATGAGTCTCTGTGTCTGGCTGTAGGAGTGTGTGCTGTCTGTGTGCAGTAGTTCAGTTGTGTCTGACTCTTTGTGATCCCATGGATTCTGGTCTGCCAGACTCCTCTGCCCATGGAATTTTCTAGGCAAGAAAGGAGACTTGGGGTTTATTCTCCATTCTGCTTTTATCACCTCTGCGGCCTGAGGAAGGTGGGGACTCTTAGGGACTCAGAACTGCCCCCTAGAGAAGGAGACGTTGATCGGTTAGCTTCCAGCATCCATCCATTCTTTCTGGTGTTTCTTTTACCCTCCGTCAGCTACACTTACTCTCCGTTTTCTCTTTTATCATCATGTGTGCATTCTCTGTCATCTCAGTCCTGTCTGACTCTTTGCAACCCCGTGGACTCTAGCCCACCAGGCTCCTCTGTCCGTGGGATTTCGCAGCAAGAATACTGGAGCGGGTTGCCATTTCCTCTTTCAGGGGTTCTTCAAGATACACGTAATCACATTTTTGTTACTCAAAATATGATATCTATGTAATTTTGATAATCACTCCTTTGTATATTTTCAGACTTTCTGACCTTCTGACAAATGACATTCAAGAGGAACGGAAGCTCAGGTGTTCCTAATGACTGACTGAGGCTGTGCAAATTGATCATTGTTCACTTCGTGAACCCGAAGTGAGCATTTTCCTCTGTTCAGCCCAGTCTCCATGTATGTATGGGATCCGTGACTGGTTTGCTTTCTTCTTTTTTTCTCTCTTTTTTCTTTTCTGAAAGAGCAATAATGTCGACGCAGCTGTTGCCGCCTTTCTTACAAATGCTGCACAGTGAATCATCTTAGCCTCTCTGTAAAATTTTAACTTAATGGAGTCCTGGCATTTCTGATGAGACGAGGAACTTAATTTTATAGAACAACCTATTGAACAAGCTGTTCTTGGACATTCCCATCTCAACTAAATGTTAAAAGTATTAAAATTCACATTAGCGCAAGAGGAAATTTTGCATGGGTAATCCTTTAATACAGTGTTTTATGGCTCTATTAGCTGCACAGCAGCTGGTGACATGATGAATTTAATCCATTAAAAAATTCAGGAAGAGGTTTAAAAGTCAGCTTTTTAAAACATTATCTTGCCACAATGAAAGGGAATTTCTCCTCGGGGCCAGAAGTGGGCTGACTTCACACTGAGGCAGGTGTAGAAAACACACCTGCCTAACAAACGCACACGCTCAGAGGCTGGCTCCCAGAGAGGGGCTAGCGCGATGGTGAGCCAGGGCTTGGGGCGGGGGGGCCAGAGGAGGCTGAAACAGCCGAGCATCTTTGACTCATGTCTGCCACCTTCTCCTTGCTTTCCCGAGAAGGTTTTACGTGGATAGTAATTTACATGGATAGTAAATGATGGTGTTGTTTTTAGATGGGTGTGGCATTTTTGTGTTGTGCTCCATATTTCTGTAAAATCAGAAATTCCCCGAGCCTTTACTGGTATGATTATTTATCTGACAAGGGCATAAGTAAGAAAAAAATTTTCAACCCTTGCTACAAATAAGCATCTGCCAAATCCCTTGGGTATAAAAGCTTTGGTGCAAGTGATCCAGAGTCTCACCTTGAAGAGATGCTCCTGCTTGGTACCTCTGGAGGGCATTGGGAGGGAGCCTGGATGCAGTGCAGTGAAGTAGCATCTTGGATGGCTTAGTAAGTCAGGGTCCTGCCTTGGAAGTAGATGGATGGCACTGGCGTGTCTTAACCACTAGCCTTTACATCCTTCATTTTTCTTTTCCAAATTGTAACTTGTTTTCCTCAAAGGAAAAAAAAAAAGACATTCCCCCCCGCCCCCATAGGTTTTTCAAGTTCATAGGTAGGATTAATTGTTCTCAACGTCAGGAGAATTTCTTTGCAACAATAGGTATTTCTGAGCAGAGACAGTAACAGGTCACCTTGGATCCAATTGCCTGATATTTGTNCCCCCTCCCCGGACCAACCCCTCCCCCTCGGAGCCCCCACTTCCAACACTTTTGCAAAGATGCCTTTCACGGGTGTGTGGTAATGTGTTTCATTTTCCAATCTATGTGGTTCCTGGTGACTGAGCCTGTTGTGAGAAGGGTTATGCAGTCTGAGAGCTCGACTAATGACACTGCCTTTTTTTTTTCTACATAAAACACAAACCCCACTAGAGTGATTTCCATATTGAAAAAAAATGCATAACCAAAACCCAGCCAGTAGGGCCATTGTTGCCGTGCACATTTCCTTGTCTATACTGTCTGCAGAAGCAGGAGAGACTCAGGCTCACACATCAGACGCTACAGTCAAGGATAAAGCAAACACAGAAGACTCAGAAGGGGCGGGGCATCGGCATGTTGATGGAATTTGGTGTGTTCCTGCCATTTCCAAAGAATTTAAAAATGGGAACAGTTTGTGTTTCTTGATGATTTGATGGATTCCCTGATGGCTTGGATGGTAAAGAATCTGCCTGTAATGCAGGAGACGTGGGTTCAGTCCCTGGGTTGGGAAGAAGGGTATGGCAACCCACTCCAGTATTCTTGTCTGGAGAGTTCCTTGGACAGAGGAGCTTGGTGGGCTGCAGTCCATGGGGTCACAAGGATCGGACACGACTGAGTGACTAAATGACTACTGCCAGTGACCCTTGAATCATTGCGTAGGGTGGTCCAGGTGAGCCCAGCTGGCGTGGTCGGGTGTAATTGGCCAACTCTGGCTTCTGAGAAACGCCACTCAGCCACTTCCACCTGCTCTGCTTCCTCCACTTCACAGGGGATGCTCTGCAGTTAGACTGCCTCCTTGCCTGGTGTGAATGAGCCCTAGATGGCCTCTGTGTATTGACCCTTATGTTCTTTCTTTTGGGTAGGCTGGGGCCTGTTAGCTCGAAAGCCAATCAATACCAAACTCAAATTTTTACATGCCAGTTATTTAAAAAAATCACCTGGAATGGTTTTAGAGTCTTTATTGAATTTTTAAAATAATTGTCAAAGATGATAATTGTACAATATTGAGAAGTATAGAGCAAAATACAGTGATTAGAAGACAGTTGCTCTCCAGTATTGCTTTAAAGTCTTTATTGAATTTGTTACAATGTTGCTTCTGTTGTTTATGTTCTGGTGTTTTGGCCAGGAGATTGGGGATCCTAGCTCCCTGATCAAGGGTCACCTGTACACCCTGCATTAGAGGTGGGATCCTAGCCACTGACCCAGCAGGGACGCCCCATGAACTAGCAGAATTTTAGCCACGTAGAGACCACCTGCTCTGCCTACCTTGGGAAACCTCACCCAACAGCTGGTACCTACTGCAGTGATATGACCCTAATAGGTGATGCGCTCTGAGCTCTCGGACTCAGACTCACCCTGTGCAGCTGGGTGCCATCACCCAGACACCGAGGCCCTCTTCTTCCCGGGGGTCCCTCATCGTCTTCCCCTTCTGAGTCTTGCCCACATGTCGTGTGGGCCTCCCCCACCTGCAGCCCCGTCCCGGGGCCCCCTGACAAAGCCTCGGTGCTACAGCGGGTCCCAGGGTCGTTTGTTTTCCCTTGGGCTCCCCCGCTGGCTCGGTGGGAAAGCGCCTGCTGGCAGTGCAGGAAACACAGGAGGCTCGGGTTCAAGCCCTGGATCCGGAAGATCGCCTGGAGAGGGAAGCCCCAGATTCCTCAGCCTCCCGACCTCCAGCTCCTCCCATTCCTCCCTCCTCCTCCTTCACAATAAACAGAGCAGTCTTAGTGCCTCTGGGCTGAGAGCTGGTGTAGAAGGGTCCAGAGATTAAGGAAGGCTGCCAGAGTGTCCGTGACCTAGAGTGAGTGGGTGAGCAGCTGACCACAGGTCCCCCACGGGACCAGCTGCCGTAGGAGCTCCCACCCGCGGGAGTTCAGGTCTGGTCCCCAGTAAGCTTGTCTCGCTGGGTGGACGGCACAGCTACACACGGCGAGGAGCCGATGCGGACCACTCGCCCCGCCTGTGTTCTCCTAATTCGGAAGCTGGCTTCCTCCTCGGTTCCCTTTCTGCTGACGTTCGCTTGTTTATTCTTCGCTCCTGCAGGTTTTGGCTGACTCCCTGTTGTATGACCGGCCCGCCAGGATACAGCGGAGAGGGAAGCAAAGTTAGGAGTCAGACGGTGGTGTGGGGGCATTCCAGCCAGGGCGGGAGGGAGGAGAAACCCCACTTTCTCAAGCCCCAGTGGACTGTGGGGGGAGGAAGAATTAGAGGAACACGGGGCGGTTGCAGGCAGGCACCCCTCTTGCCACCACTCTGGTCTGTGGTTCTCAGAGCCATCAAGTTCTCTTTGGTTTTTAAGGAACTTTAAATTTTTTTATTAAAAGTTTTATTCATTTTATTAAATTAAAATTAAATTAGTTTTTAAATTTAAAAACTTTTAAATTAAAACTTTATTTATTTAAGTTTTTTTTTACAATGCCATGTTTGTTTCAGGTGCAAAGCACAGTAATTCAGTTATACATATGTGTATATAAATAATTATGTATTTTCCTATTCAGTTTCTTTTCTCTTATAGGTTGTTACACAAAATTGACTATAGCTCCCAGTACTATACAGTAGGCCTCTGTTGGTTATCTGTTTCCATCAGGTTCTCTTGCGAGAAGCCTGAGGAAGGTGGGCCGGTGACCTGTTTCTTTAAACCTGACAGAGGCTACAGTTCCCTGAGCATGAGTTCTGACAATCCCAAAATGAATTCCCAGGAATCCCAGGAAGTGATCAGGGTTACAATAGGGCTCTGTGGACGGCTTTGGTTGTGAAACACTGCACGGTCTCACGAGTCAGTGCTCCTCCGAGTTTCTTTGCACAGGGGTAACCTGGGCATCCTGAGAAGATGCAGGTACTAAAGCCGCCATGGGACCCAAGATTCTGCATCTCTAACCAGTGCCTGACAGATGCGGTTCTGCTGATCCAGGAACCACATTTTGAGGAACAGAGCTTGTGAGATTCTTTCTGCCTCTTTGTCTATGAAAGGTGCTAAGAAGTCCCCCTCTAATTTGCTGAGTTTTATTTGTCTAACAGTCACCCACCAGACTGTGCAGGGTTGGAAAAGCGATGAGCGCTTTTGGAAGAGCATTTAGGAAACATTCCATGAAAAGCCTCACAGCGCTAGCTGCATCATGAATCCTGTTTACTCTGTGTGAGCCTGGGCACTTTGTGTGTGAGTGTGTGTCTAATTGTGCCACGCAAGTCGAGGGGCAGGTGGCAGTTTGCGCAGGTATCTACAAGACCATTTCCCACCCTGCATGGAAGCCTCTCAGAACCTTGTCGACTCCTGATCATGAAGTGCAGTCTGTTTCCTCCTTTCCACCTGAACCTGTGCCTAGGCGACCGTCTCCCCGGGTGGAGGAGGCAGGAGTGTGATTGATGAGGTTCTCAAAGGCAGACGTCCCCACCCTCTGGGATCGGATGCCCAATGGCCTAAGGTGGAGCCGCTGCAGTAATAATAATAGAAATAAAATGCACAATAAATGTGATGCGTTTGAATCATCCTGAAACCATACCTCTCACCCCACTCTGTGGGAAAACTGTCTTTCACGAAACTGGTCCCTGGTGCCAAAAAGCTTGGGGACCGCTGCTCAGAGGTGATTCTGTTCTCACCTGCTCTGTCTCTGAGCCATCATCAGTCTCCAGGTGAGATGAGAGGGAAAGTGGGGAAGGAAGGAGGGATGTGGAGGTAGGAGGGAGGTAAGGGAGAGGAAGTGGGGGAGGAGAGGTGCCTTAGGAGCCCAGCTGTTCCAGCACCCAGCAGTTTGACTCTCCCCAGTTCAGGCATTCAGCTTGAGTCAAAAGCTTTCGCGATGACTTCAGTCAGATCTCAGCTCCAGTCACAGATGGGCTGCAAGTGTATGAGAGACCGCCAGTGAGAAGGGCCTAGCTGCCCTGTTGGCCCCCAGATTTATAAGCCAAATAAATGATGTTTCTTGTCTTAAATCACTGCGGTGCGGTGATTTTATGCAGCAATAGATGTCTGGAGGAGTCCAGATAATAGAGATCGGATTGAGGGCT